ACTTCCAGTCACATACAAGATGGGTATAACCAAGGACCTCACTCACATACATTCAGAAAGGACCCTCTGCATGAACAAAACCATATGACACTCCTTCCTCTTTCTTCCCTGTGTAGGCACTGTCAGTATTTTCCTCCTTCTTCTCTTCCCAGTTAGTTCTTTATACACCCTGAGTTTGGTTACATAATCTTTGTTAAGGTAGGAGACTTCTTCTAAACAGATGGACAATCGGGGTGATTTGGGAATATGCCTATTTTAGCCTGGTATTTATCTCCAATGATGCTGAAAACAGGGCAAAAGGGATAGACTTTCATCTCGGCGTTACAACACTGTGGAAACAAACACGAGTCTTTAACGTTACAGTGCAAACAACAGCCACAGAGCTCTCCTTGTTATCCTTGCTGACTGATCCGTATGATAATTGCAGGCTAGGATGACTGTATCCCTCTCAGGCCAGATTTAACCATATTATACAGTCAGAAACCTTCCTGAATTCTGTGGCCATCACCCTCCACAAAAACATGAAGTTAAAATTGTTTCTTCAAATTCAAATGGGATCAATACCTCTCAGGAGACAGATGGGGTTTTCTTTTCTACACTGAAAAAAAAATCAGTGTCTGGAGTTCTGGCTCAAAGTATTCATTCAGTTACAGAACAACACCAGCAAAAATCAGCAGAGACTGGGCACTTGCTTTTGTCCCTGATTAGCCCTGAATCTTAGAATTTGATGTTTTATATAAAGAGAGCTTGCTGTTGCTTTTGCATGTGGCTTTTTAAACTACATGGTTTGGCTCAGGCAAGAAGGACATGTTTATTCTTTTTTTGGAGCTTTTTCATTTTCACTTGTAGCTGAATCCTCTAGGTCAATTGTATCTGCAGGGGTGGGAGAGGAATTTAATTGCTTTTACTTCCTACCTTCATCTCAGGGTGACCAGTCCATTAATAATGCACAGGAAGCAACTAGGAAATGCATGGTAGATTAGGGATTAATTGATATTTGGAAAGATTTCAATCCACATTTGAAGGAAAAGGTTACACACTGTACTCCAGCTCTAGTTACTATGTGCATTTGATTATTACTTCTTACAGCCCTGCTTCTTCTGGTTTTAGATCTGTTTTCCCCTTTCCTCGGTCAACAAGGCTTTTACAAAAATTTCCTTGTTTGTTTCTTGCTACAGGTATTTGCTACATTTCTCATACACACCACCCAATATCAAATAAATACAAACATTTGTCTGTATTTTCCAGTAACTATGTTTTTTTCTTCGCTGACACCACCCACAGTTCCTTTATGAACAATTTGACTTTCCAAAACGTCATTGATTTCTCTGCTTGGAAGTTACAAGATTAATAGCTTTAGAGGCAAAAGTCCTTCAATCCTTTCACTGAATAGGTGCTGCAAGCTTGCTTCAATGCCTGCTGATGTGCTTCAGCACATCACTTTTAGTTAGAAACGTGAGTGAGGCACTCCTCGAATCAACAAGGCACTAAAATACAGGAAACAGATGGGTAATTCCAGTGATGTCAGGGCAGGAAGGTATGATTTAGTTTGTTTGAAAATGACAAACCTGACACCTCGACTTGTTTTGCCATAGAAATGATAATGACTTCGGTAACTTCTTTGGCTGTTTTAAAGGCTGCAGAACACCTAATATACCCATAAAACCAGTAACCACTGTTAGCAGAATTTGACTCTAGCTATCAGGAGCAAGGGATGAGAGTAAATAACAGAAGACCCAATAGAAAAGATATATTAGATTCTTTTAAGACCTTGAGAAATTCACCATCTTTTCCCAATGCCCATTACATTAAAAATAGACTAAGTTAGGAATGTAACATAAATGTCCAGTTACAAGCACTTTGATAATGTTAGGTGAATTGGACAAAGACCTTTTGAGGACCCCTGGTGTTACAGCAGATTTTATGATGGTATTTGAATTTGAGAGTAATGGATTCTTCTCAGCAGCTAAAGCCAGACAATTTGGAAGAGTTTCAAAGCTGCTAAATGCACACCACAGAGACACCCTGATGACTGTAAAATCTAAGTGGCCACCTCAATTTAGGATTAAAATGTCAAAGGAGAGGTAGACCTACCTTTCATATGTCGTACCATGAAGTATTTAGAATGCTAATCATGGAAACACTTAAGTTCTTTTCTAATAAACTGTCACTTTGGAATCAGAGCTAGACTAGTTACAAAAGCCTGTTAAGATACAATATGTGAGTAAAGAAACAGTGATGGTGACTCCTTTGAAGTAATCATTTGGGGTTGGAGAAGTTCATCTTTCACCACTGAGGTAGTGAAGGTCACATAAGTGACTTTCATAGTCCTACCAGTGAGTGTTTTGCACCCCCAATGCAGTTCTGTTTTTCTTCCCTCTGACAGCCCGAGAGAAAGGAAAAGTCATTGAAATATATGAAGTAGCTCAAGAAGATGCCCTGGAGGAATCTTTGCTCACCTCACCACACCATGGTGATAACAGCTGCTGAAAATGCCACATTTTTTTCTACTGCAGGATATCTCAACCCGGGCCTAATTTTATTCAAATATCCACACCTAACGAGAAAGAACAGTAGGCAGCATATCCTATATTACAGTATTAATTTAAAAAATATGCTATTTACAACTGTTGTTAAGAGCTGTTTTCAAATCCCTTTAGTATTTTTCATCCATAGAGTTATTTGGAGGATTTTGCTAATTCTGGTTTTATTAACATATTTGGTAGAGGTTATCTGAGTTTCATCTTTTAATCTAGGAGACTTTGCAAGCACTATTTGCTGATTTATCTTCTTTGATTGATTAAATAAATGAAGAAAGACTTGTAAACTGTAGCAGTGTCACAATGGGGTAGTTATGCCTTATTTTAATTAAAATCGGGATCTAAAAAATATTTTATTCAGTGGCTATCTACCTGGGTGTGCTTGGCCTAGTTTTTTCAAGTACCTAGAGATTCTGCTGAAGTCTTCATTTGCTCAATCTGCCAAATCCACAGAGCTGCATTCTGTGTGCAGCTCAGGCTGCAGGCATATTTTCAGTCCAGAGAATCTGAATTCTCTGGCCACAAGCATTTGTGTAAGGCCTGTTTTGCTTTTACACAAATCTGCTCTACTTTCCACAACTTCCAGGCTCTGTACCTCGCTGTGGTTGCAAGTTGCCCCTGCAACATTTGAGGAAAGAAGACTCCATGAAACTTCTGTTTCTATTTTACTTCCCACCCAGTCTCTGTGGAGGCCCAGAGATAGTCATGGACAAACCTCTGGTCCCAGTGAGTTTTCTGCCAGAGAGGAATGACCAAGAATCACAAAAAAATAGCGAAACTTGTGAAATCATCACATCACAAAGGAATACAAGTTCTTTAAAACAGAAGAATCAAAACCTAATTTCCTTACCTTTGGTGAGACTCCCAGCTATGTGGTTCATGGCTGCGCCTCTGTTCTTAGTCGTGCCCGAGTTCTGCTGGTGGAAGTGATTGTAATTACCAGTCAAATAAATATGAGTTTCCATCACAGCTTATTTTTCATTTTAGTTGGCAACGATCTCATCCCTCTCAAAACCAGTTACATATTGCCTTGGAGACCACAGGTTACCTGGGTGTTGCTAGGATGCACCATTTGCCTGATTCTCTCTTCCTCAGCCACGTTGCCCACTCTCGGTGCTGTTAATCCATTTGGATATTGCCCTTATCTACCCTTATGCTGGGAAGTTCCTAAGTAGCCATGTGGCTTGGATTCCTCCTCACTGCACTGTGCTTACCTTGAAACAGTGAACAAATGGTATTTGCATGTGCATTTATTTTCCCTAGATGGGCTGTGTTGGCCTTTTGTGGGAAATGTTGCAAACAGACCACAAATGAAGTTGATGTCGAACTGAGAAAAGCAGGAGGACAGGGTTATGCAGGGATAAATTGAGAGAGGACGTAGAAGGCAGAACAGATCTACTATCTAAACTTCCACACAATCAATGCCACTTATGTGATTGACCTGTATTACCATCGGCAGCGAAGAGCTGCGGTTGGGAAGCCCTTGTTGGTACTGACAGCAAAGGGAAATGGAGTGAAAAAACCTGAATGAACCCAGCTGAAAAAACAAGTAGCCCAACTACCTTTTCCTTCCTAATCATCATGTTTTAATACAACAGAATAAAGTGGCACATAAAAGGGTAATGTGCATTTTCTTCAAGGACTTGTTGAAACACATAATACAGTATCTTTGTAATTTACTGGTAATATGTACACAATGTAAAGGATCAGGAGAGGAGAGTCCTATCACTATATTTAGAAATAATGCTGCTTTTCTTTCATAGGCTTGATATAAACTTTGATTACATAGCATTTCTTTAATTTGCTGCTATTCAAGAAAACCCTTAGAGCACTGCAGCAAGCAATGCCTCTCTCTTACATTTGCATTTTTTAATTTGCATTTTTTAATTTCCCAGACTACAGCTCCACACCTACACAGGCTTCCCCTGTGGGAGGGAAGAGAATATTTTTCAGTATGAATGGTACTGTTTCTCTTCTCAAATAGCTGTAGTTATTAATTCCAGAGATTTACAGAAAAAATCACTTTGCTACTGTTTCACTTAAGTGTGTAGGGTTTTTTTTCTAACTAACATCAGATGCCAATCTATTGCTCCACTGGTACCCATTTTAAATAGGGCAGCCAAGCAAAAAGTTCAGACTGCTCAAATGACTAGCTGCTGCTCTCAGCAGCCTGCTCGTGCATTCCTTGCATACCCCAAAATGACACTGAGTGCAAGAAGGGTTTGGTGCTTTTAAAGGAAGAGCCATTATGTCCATAATATGTTAAGCCCCCCGTGGCACACTAATGGCAAGAATCTAGACCAGGTTACTCAGCACAGGAGACCATTTACTAACCAGCAGGGACCAGTTGAGTAGATATCTTTAAAACATGTACTAAACCCCACGTTCTAGGAGATAGGGGATGTGATGTGCCTGTGACTTGGGTGATCTGCATTTTAAACCCCACTCTGCCTCATCTGGATGGGGACCTCAACCCAGATCTCTTTCATCTCTTCAGAGTGTCTGGCTCTTCTCAATTCAGAAAGGTTATGACAGGAAGATCCTGTAAAACAAGGTTACATCACTCACATGGCAGGTTACAAAGTTAGGACATCTCATCAAGCAATTCTTTCAGCTGCCGGTGTTTCACTGTGTAAAACTGGAGCAGTGCCAGTGGAAGAGGCTGAGAGAGCCCACAGCACTCAAAAAGCCTGATGGGCAGAGCCCCTTCTGAGACATGAGAGACCTAAATTTAGCTCTATATGCCAGATTTGGCAGAGGGACATTTAGCTTCCAATTTCCTAGAAGAGGCCCAATTAACAGACGAAAAAAGAAATGGTCTCTCCCTCACTCTGTTTTTGTAGGAAAGGGTCAGCTCTTTTTGGATATCGATATTTAGGACCAATTTCAGAGTAGCAGGGGACACCTATGCACTCAGAGGCCAGAGTGAAAGGCTGTCCTTCTCTGAGGCATATCCTCCTGCCTCACTCACCAGCTCCCCTTCAATATGCTGTCTTCTGGGACTGTCATTTTTAAGTTCCTCACCTGGTCCTGCTCTGCAGGCAGAGTCTGTGCCTAAGTTGGATTTCTGTATCTCACACAGAGTCTTTCCTCTGAAAATCCTGGGATGCTACATATGAGGCATGGCATAAAGAGGGAAGGCAACAAGCAAAATTAGACCTGGAAGAGAGATGGCAACAGCAGGGCAATGGCTTTGTTCAGGCATTTAGCCAAGTACTAATGCCTGTCTATTGGAGAGTAACTGTCTCCAGAACAACTCCATCCAGAGGCTGAGGCAACAAAACAAATTATTTATTTGACTTTCTCTATCCAGGACCTTGCAAAAGAAAATTTACGAACACAGTGTGTCTTCCCAAGCCTGAACGTTTGCTCACATAATAAGGTGGGAAAAAAAAAGAACTTGGAAGACTTTATATAACAGTACCATCTCGTGACACCTGCCATAATAATATTTTGTCAGTCTTTTCTTATCCTATGTCTCTTGAAGCTCGACTAGGTTACTGCATCAAAGGGAAGGAGTAATAGTATCATTTCAGATAAAAGAAAAAGAGAGAAGTGTGCTGTACACAATCTGCCCATCATGTCACCTCACAGTTACATTAACCAAACAGGCACCACATCTATGAAAAGTACACACATAACATGGCAATCTGTGTCAACTACAGCTTCTCTTCAGGTATGGGAAAAATTGCTCCATTCTTACGCGGTAGCTATAATTCAAAATGCTTTACACAGATTAATTAATGGAACATACTTTATGCACATCAATACACTGAGTCAGAGAAATATTAAATAAATGACAAAGCACAAAATTAAATACACGCAGGAAGTGGCAGAGCCATAAACAACACTGAACTCCCGGATTTCAGAATTCAGAAAAAAAGCCCTACTCTAGTGCAACTATTTCCCTTCCCTTTCTTAGAGCATGTGTTTCAGGCAGCAAATTCTGCTGCGCAAGCATTGAGCACATCATCAGCTCTTTTCAAGTACTGAACTGAATAAATAATATTAACTATAATCCCACTACCATGTCCTAAACCACTAAATCTATTGAAATTTGAAACCTTCATATTTAACTGACTTTGGTAAAGATCACTCTGAAAGCTGCACTATCTTGGTACTACTAATTAATATGTAATAATAATGATAATCATGACCAATAATGCTGCTCTAATAAGGATTTAATCCTACAGATCATTTTATGAAAGCACTTTGATAATAATGGTTATTTATTCTTACAGTGCATTTTTCATGCTAGCAACTTCAAGTACCATAACGATTAATAAAGCTAAAGAAATAAAGAGATACATAAAATAACAAGCTTACGAGACTGCTAATATGCTGATCTTATTTAATAAACCTTACCAAATATAAAACTGTAAGGGAGATTCTCTTGGGAAAGGGCAAAAATAAAAAATAAACAAAAAACTCCTCGAGGCTATGTCAGCAGGATTAAATTGACCTGTGTATCAATGTCATTTCCATTGTCACTCTAGCAAACAAAATAAAATAATAAATACCATTTAGTGAACTGTGGGCAAGGCTGTCAGCTGGTGTAAAGAGATGCACTGGCATTAATCTAAAGGAGTTGTGCATCTGGCCCAGCATTTTCAAAGGGCTGCAGAAGCATAAGAAAATGCTCAGTATGTCCTGTCCATGATTACTTCAACACACAGAAGAGGAAGGATACATACTGTCAATGCTCACCTCCTCTGGTGATAGTTTATCTATCTATCTATCTATCTATCTATCTATCTATCTATCTATCTATCTATCATCTATCTATCTATCTATCTATATCTCTGTGTGAGCTACTTTGCTGGATTGGGCATACTGAGATCTGTTGGGGGCTTTTTTAGCTGCGGGGCCTAGGATTTAAGTTCAATAGAGGGGCCTCTTGCCTTCCTCCTCCCATGTTCCCACTACTGCAGCTAAACCAAAGGCTTTGGTTTGACCCAAGTTGGATTTTCATAGATATTCACAGCAGGGCAATAGAAAGAATTCACCTGGTCCAAAAAATCCACCATGAGGGATCTGTTTAGCCTACAGTGCTTGCATAGGCAGCATTTTGCCAAAATAGCTTAGAAAGGAAGTCACCTGGGCTGGCACAATTTACAGCAGCAAAAGAAATCTTCTGCAGGATGGCTTATATAACTAGGGAAGCCTGGTTAGCAATACAGACAGTTTTTATATGCCGAACTCAATCCTTCTCAAGAAGCCTTTACTGCTTTGACTTTCCTGGCAAAGTCTTGGTAGTAGAGATCAACTCTGAGAGATATACTCAACAGCAAAGATGTCAGGCTGAGTAACTTTCTATTTAAAAGAGTCTCCTGACTTTTTCTCATCTGGCACAGGTCAATCCAGTAGCAATGTGAAACCAGAAAGAAACAGGTTGTGGGGATGCACAAGAGAGAAGTCCTCAGGAGGAGGTTTACTGAGACATGAGATATAAATGGAAATCATCCACAGTGACCTGCTCGTGGGCTCCACAGCAATATCCACATGCTGGAGTCAGGGAAATGGAGAAGGGAGTATCCAACCTCAGGTGTGAGATAGGGGGAGAGAGGAGCAAGTCTTTGGAAGAAAAGCTGAAGGAACTTATTTCAGGGGAATTCTGCAGTTCTTCCTCTTCATAATCATATTTTCTCAGACAGTTTAGGAAATGATTGCACAGAGAAAGATACAAAAGAACCAAAAAAGATGCCAGGTAAACAGAAGCCCTCTGGCAAAAGAGAAGCCCAGCCCACGGTCAGAGAAACTATACGATGGTAAGAAATAGCTGGCGTGTTTTGAATACGTGCTATATAAACACTGTCTGAGGTTCATGGAAGTACTGAATGGAACCAACTATCTCTTTGTTAAGGGGATGAACAATATTTCATTCCAAATAACTATCAAGAGTAGCCTCCAGCCACAGAAAGCAAATCTGAATAGGAAGAGATCTTAGCAGATCCAATACAGGCTTTCTACACTACCGGTCGATCCTTCTCCAAACTAATTTGTGAACAAAGAGAACAAAGGGCTGGCTGTTTCTCTGGGGACAGTCTTATTTTCTAACTGAAGAGTAAATTATGTTGAATGAGAATACAAAGTCATAAAACATAATCAGGCTATTAGCTAGGTAAGAACTGGGGGAAGATACAGTGCTCCACAATGAATTCCCAGTGTTACATACGATAAGTAGAGACAATAGAAATCAGTGGGAAAATTTGGCATGCAGTGATTTCCTTCCCTGGGCCTCCTGCAATTTGCAGAACTCTGCAGAATTTCTTGGGCTGCTTGGTCAGCTTTCTCTTTTGCTGAAATATACTTGGATTTCAATGCTAACTACCACTGCTACAAAAGGAGGGTAGTTATAAAAGGTTGATTTGCAAAAATATTTATAAATTCTGCAGCTTTCTATTTTTAGGTGTTCAATTTAAGGCTTCTGGTGGCTGCAGACATCTGTCTTGTCAGAGATTTCTCTGTGGTGCTAACAGAAGTGAAGCTGAACTGAAGACTTAGATTCATCATGAAATGGGAACTGGGACTTTGATTCTACAGAAAATAGAACCCAGAGGAGAATCACAAACACATACACATTTTCCTTGCATATAGATATTACTATTATTCCCAGGATTGTTCAGCAGTGGAAATAAATAGGAATTTTGTTAGGGATTTCTGGTGGGATCAAGATGGAGCCTGGCTGTAGTCAGTAACAACTCTCAGGACACCAGCAAGCTTAGAATCATAGAATCTTTTCAGATGGACCTCTAAGATCACCAAGTCCAACAGTTAACCCAGCATTGCCAAGTCCACCACTGAGTTGCTTGCCCCTTCTTCCAAAGGTCATAAACTCTCCTTTTTTCCCTGAGTTACAGCCAAATCTCTCTGTTCAGCTGGGCTGGTCTTCTTCCTCACTGACTCCTCTTCTGATACATGGGGACAGCCTGCTCCTGTGCAGACGTCCTTCCTAAAGTATGTCCAGCCTTCCTGGACTCCTTTTCCCTTCAGGACTGCCTCCCAAGGGACTCTGTCAACCAGTCTCCTAAACAGGACAAAGTTTGCCCTCAGGAAATCCAAGCGTGTCTGTTTGTTGGACTCAGTTGTTGCTGTTCAGCCTGATGTGAACTCCTGAGGCTTGTGTTCCCTTTCACTTGGTCTGTCTTTGAACACCATACAGCTCACTATCCATGCTTAACATACTCCTGGTTAATGGTTCCCTGTGCAGTCTGTAAATGCTCTCCCTCCTCAGTCATTTTTAATTTCTGTATCAATCAGAATACCATCTGATGTAAAATTAAAGTTATGAGAAGCCCATTTGCTCAATGTTTGTGCTAGAAGACCAAAGTCCCATACTTGAAAGAGGAACTTTTTCCTCGAAGGATTACCCCAAATAACATTTTCACAAAGGCTGGAGAGTACATTATGCACAAAGTAGAGATCATGCAAGACTTCTCCTGGAGTCTCAGCAACACCATATTAGAACAACAGAAATCCAAAAGAGGGAGGAAAAAACTTGCATGTATGTCAGTGGGATGATCAGCATGGAGCATGTGATGG